ATAGGACAAGAGGTAACGGGTTAAAACTTAAACAGGGGAAGTTTAGATTGGATATATGGAGGCAATTCTTTCCTGTGAGCGTGGTGAGGCACTGGAATGTGTTGCCCAGGGATGCTGTGACTGCTCCATCCCTGGCAGCGTTCAAGGCCAGGCTGGACGAGGCCTTGGGTGACACGGTTTAGTGTGAGGTGTCCCTGCCCATGGCAGGGGGGCTGGAACTTGATGATCTTAAGGTCCTTTCCAACCCTAACTATTCTGTGATTCTATGAGTCTATGAAACAGTATCTCTGTACACTATACAGATGATTTTGACAGTTTTCCAAGTAGACAGTGCTTATTTCACTAATCCCATCAATCTAGACCATAAAGAAATACCCAGAGGTCCACAGACTGCATTCAGCTTGCCCATAAGATTTACATGACCCTTTAGCTCTCACCGATTTTCTGCTGAAAATTCTTGTTATGCACAAAGACTTATCTGCAGACCACTTCCAGTATGGCAGTGGCCTACAACCTGACCCTTTTTCTTCTTTCTCAAACATGTTGGGCATGTGAATGATGTACATCTGGGACCTCCTAGAGTGACCTATGTCTGGAATGTAACCAGTTCACAGACAAGTATCAGACTACCTACCTGAACACAAAAGAAATTCCTAACATTTAACTAAACAAGTTGCATAAAGGAGGAGCATCATGCCAGCTCATGTGACAAGCATGGAAGAGGGAACAGGAAAGGAGAGGAATCATCTCCAGCCATGTAACGGGGCCTATCCCACACAAGAAGATTAAAGCTAACTCATCTCAGGTATCAAGGATCTCTTAATTATTCAGTTATTGAGATTTTTAACAGAACAAACACAAAATTTCTACCCTCTGAACACGAGGTCCATCTCTAATGCATCTAAAGGGACTGAACTAACCAAAATGCTTTTTAAAAGCCATACCAAATATGTAAGGTGTATTTGACTCTTTACTTAGGATTCAATACAGAAAAACCTAGACCCAATCTCATACATTTGTTAAGAAAATCAAAACCAGTTTCAGTTCAGTCAAAATCAGCAAGGAAACAGTTTTTATGTGTATGTTGTACTTAACAGTAATCTATATAAGTTTAGAACAAGCTTTCTTCCTCACTTCTTTTGTCCTAAGCATTAACACAATTAGCTTATAGAAGTAGACCAAAGTTGTAGTTTTCAATTTTTTTTACTAGATCCCTCTATCAATATATTAACTAATGCGAAACATACTATTTGCACCTTGATTTATTAAGATAACTATTTATTTCAATTACTATTTCATCTTCATTGATCTTTTAACAGTCAAACTTTCCCCTTAGTCATGTTTAAGATGTCACCACAACAGAAGTTCCAAGGCACTGAGATATTTTTAATGCTGACAGCATGTGCCCCAACCAAACCACATCACTAACATGTCAAGAAAATACTATGTGCATTAACTGAACTGAAGGTTCTATTTGTAATTGAAAGTGAAGGAATGAGTCACAGAATTGTCAAAGGTAAAAAAAGGCAGCTTTAGAAGAATAATAAACCACATCAGCTTTTGATACCAAGGGATGCTCAGAACTTTTAGATGATACTTCATCTGAGTATTCCTATTGAAATGCTAAGAACAAAATCTAGGCCAAATAATTTGTATTAAGTCAACTGCAGACTTCATATTTATGTCTACTGGTATTAACTTGTGCCTCTGTATTCAAACTGTCATAGGCTGTTCCATACAATTCATGCTGCAAGACTGAAGACAGCCTACCCTCATAAACAATTTCCTTATTTCAGAAGTATTTTGGCATACTTCCTCTTCATGACAAACAAAAAAAGGACAACAAAGAAAAGAGACTGGAATTTTTTAAAGAAACCATTTACAGTGATATCTTGATATTTACACTTCAGTCACATGATAATGTTCAAATTCACTGGCAACAAGCAAGTGCAGGCCTTTAGTCCAACAGTTACTGCAACAACATTCTGGGCCATATATATGCCCATCTTCAAAGGAAGAGTACTTCTTGTACCATCAGTACATCTAAGGAGGAATCAAATTCCTCAGCATCAAAAAAAAATTTCCAAGCACTGAAAACTCACAACGATATGGGACATAAGCATATCAATGATCACATTCAGCAGAGTTGAGTGACAATCAAGAGATCAGCAAACAATCTCTGAAAAGCTGTAACAGCAATTTTATTTTGTTCTACATCTGAGCTACATTCCCTGTTTTAAGATTTTCATTTTGGCTCTAAGGAAACGAAATTTTGCTTGCTTCTCAATAAGGAGTTTTCAGGCTATTACCAGCATGGACTATACGACATACATGCCATATGCTTGATAAATGGCTACTGCATTTTCGAAATACACTGCAACAGTCTGCTTTTCTAACAATAATCCTCACCTGCAGTGAGGCCTTTTTCACACTATCCAAATTTCATAATCTTCCCTGGACGGTGTCTGTTCCTCGACTATCCAATCATACTTAGAGTTTACCCACAGAAGTCTGCATTATGAATAAGTTGGACTTCAACAAGAACTTATCTGTCAGCTAGGATTAAATGAGATATGTAGCTAATTATGACATGGCCAATGATTGGGGCTCAGCCTTCTGTAGAAAAGAGGCAGCAGTTAACAGATAAAAGACCAAAGTTGCTTCTGTGGAAGGGGACAGGAAAGGAAGCATGCAAACAACATATGAGCTACAACACACGTGTCAGCAGAGAGGCATCCACACTAGAGCAGCAAAAATTTTAACGGCAGCAGAATGCGAAAATATTTAGCCCAATGGCAGGGGAAGAGAAACATGAGTAGCCTGGCAAACTGAGGCCTATCAGCTGCTGTCTCACAGAGCTAAGCATCAGAGTGCCAGAAGCCTCATGTCGTTGTGATTCACTCTGCTGTGGCCCTAAAATAAACACATCAGTCGAGGTTTCTAGAGCATGGATGTTCTTTTTGTGCAGAACAATCAAACTGAAGAGGTAGTGATTGATTTTCTAATGTACATGAGACCTTAGTTTATGGCGCTTTTTATTGGTTGCTCTTGGAATAGATTTCCAATTTGCTGTAGGATACAAATCCAGCTTAGCAACCCTCTTGATCCTTCCATTTAGACACTATTTTTTTTTTTTTTTACGCTTTCCAACTCACTTCTTTAAGGAGCTGACGGCTCTTTGCGCCAGTGCACTTCGGCTGGTTTTTCCTCCTCCATTTCCTCATTTTGACTTCTGACCAAGGCACAGCACTGTTAACACCCACTTCCAGCTGGCTGCCTCGCTGTAATCAACTACATTCCCAACTGCAAGTCCCACAAATACTTCTACGCCTCTGTTTTTAGCTGAGTTTGAGGGAAAAATTAAACTAAGCCAGCGTAGTTAGCTACCAAAACAGAGGAAAAGTGCTAACCAGCTTTTCAAACAAGCTAACACAAAAACTTCACAGATTACCCGTTCTGCTATGCACACCTTAAAGGTAAGCAAGCCAACTTCCCCACGAATTCACAGCGGGGTAGAAGCGGCCAGGCCGGGCCCGACCGCGACCCCCGCAGCTGCCCCCCGGGAGGAGCTCCAAGGCCCCTCTCCTCCTCCCACCCCGGCCCCTGAGGACAAGGGTCCCGCTAGCGCAGCACGGTCCGAGCGGGCGGCACAGCCCAGGAGATCGCTCCCCGCTCACGCACCCAACAGACCCGAGGCATGGGCCCCGCTGCCTGGCCCAACCCGGCTCCCTTACTTCTTGGTGTCGCTGCAGAAGAGCCCGAAGGCCGCAGGAATCGAGGGGGTCGTGGTGGTCGCCGCCTCCTGGGCCAGCTCAGGCACCGCCTCTCCTCCCTGCTCGCTGTAGCTGAGCCCGTTACCGGACATGCTGCGGCCGGTACTTCGCACCCGCTGCCACAAACTTACCGGCGCGGCACACCCGAGAGCTTACCCCCGGAAGCGCCGGGAGAGCGCCAGCACGGCGGGGCGGGCAGGTCACGAGGCGGGAGGCGGGGCCAACCGGCCCGGGGGGAGCTCGGCTTGCCGCGGCGTGCTGTCGGTGGGGCTGGGGAAGGGAAGTGTATGTCCTTCTCCATGGGACAGTGGAAGTACACTCCTCCCCTCCGATCCGGAGGAGCCCGGGGGCCTGGCTTGTCCTGAGGTAGAGACATTCGAGCTGCTTGGGGGCCAGGCTCTGCTCCCAGCCCTACGCCATTTCTTGGGCAAAACCTTTGAAAGCACAGAGTATGACCGATGGCATCAGCTTCGCCTGTTGTTCCTGGTAATCCTTATTACAAGTTTATTTACTTCCCAGTAGATGGCGGCACCTCACGCGGACCTCCACAGTCACATTCCAGAAGCGGTGGGGTAGCTTAGACTAACAGCAAGAGTTTACATATGGAAGGCCATAAAATGTAAAAGGATAAGTCAAAATTGCCTGAGAAAAGTTTCTCTGATTTCTTTTTCCAATCCTACTTTCCAACCTGCGTCTTTACCCTTTTCCTCCAGTGTCTGAGAAATAATCTTGTGTTCATTAAAATGGACATATATCCATCCCCGACATAAGTTAGAGTCCAATGTTCTCGTCCTGAGAACTGAACTCGTTTCCAAAAGGTTACAGCTCGTAATTAATACTTTTCATCTTGCACAAGGAAGACAAAAACAAAATAATGGATTGTCATACTATTTTTCCAAAACAGCTTTTTCATTTGCTTGTCTTTCAGCAGTCTGTACATTTCTGAGTGAAACTGAGTCATTGGCAAGCAATAAAAGAGTTACCAATACAGGATCTATTAGGAGTTCAGGGTTGCTGTAAGGGCAGTTGTCCTCAGTAGCTGCCTTCTATGAATGCCAGCTTTTGTTTGGTTGTTTGGTTGGTTGGTTTGTTTTGTTTTACGATCCTCTCACAGCTTTTTTTCTTTGCAGAACTGTCTCTTGAAAGTCATGGCTTAGAATGTAGATGTCCCTGCATGAACATGCTTGACCATCACCATTTTACCTGTTCGTTCTTTGTAAAGTTAACGTTTTTGTCCTACTCTTCACCCTGTTTGCGCTAACAGCCATCATAGTCTTCACTCCCATAGTCATACTCTCTGTAAGTATCTCACTATAACTGGCACTATAAATGTTGATACTCTTCCAATGATGTGACTTGAGATGGACACGTCTCAATAATACCCAGTCATATGGTATCCTACATCCTGAGTTTTAAGGAATCAAAAACCAGAGTAGGCTGCTGGAGAACTGGGTCTGAGCTAAACAAAGATGTGCACTTACTGCTCTAAGGATTTATGATGTTGCTCTGATCTACAGAGAGATCTGAGAATTCGTACCAGCCATCCTATGAAATCGTTTCTCTCTGTTTTTCGAACCATGCATTAAATTTCAAAAAGCAGTGGTGAGAACACTTGTACTTTGGTTCCAAACATGGTTATGCTTACATGAAGGTGCCCCAGCTACATCTTTTATTTGTGTATAAGGTACATATAGTGTAGGAAGGGGTAGCCTGCAATAGGCCAAGTCCATAGTTTGTCAGGTAGAACTATTCTAGTTTCTTTTAAGATTGTCTGCCTAATCTTTGAAGCAAGAGGTGTAAAATGCTTGCTTTTTTTGGTATAGATCTGTAAATTAAGTGCTTATTTTTAGCAGTAAGAAACATTTCAAGTACAACCAATTAATTCCTTTATTTTTACTTATATCACTTAAAAGTAATCTTAGGAGAAGGAATGACAGAAAAAGATAATAGTACACTTGTAGAGTATTTCAGAGAAATTTGTGGGAGCACAAACATGGGCAAGAGCAGACAGGTGGGTTATTGAGGTGGATAATCATGGGACTTTGATATGAGGAGCAGATAATAACAGTGAAGCAGAGCTTGCTAGGGCCTGAAACTGAGAACAGAAAGCAAATATTATATGAAGATTTATCAGTTATCATTAAACAGCCTTATGAGGAAGACTAGCGATAAGCTCTTGCTATTGGTTCTTAATACTGAGTTTTAGTTTAAAATATTCCACAACTATTCAATGACTAGCCTTTTCTTGGCTACATAACTCTTCAGAATTACCATGCAGTGATAATGTACTTGCACATTGGATATATATCTGTACAGGAATATGTCAGAATTACTGAATTATGAAACAAAAATGCTACCTAATCCTCTTACATTCACTGTAACAGTGAATGTAAGTATACTTACAGTGAATTAACAGTATACTATATTTCAAGTTTTTTGTGCAATGTAAGAAAAATAAGACAAAGTTTAAAAGAGGGATTATTAATCCCATCAAGGATTAAAACAGAAGACTTTTGCTTCTCAGTTTTCCACTCATCATGTTACTTTCTGAAACCATTTCACCTCCATGATTCATACCATTTTCACAACTGCTACTTCTGTGGTATCTAGTAAATTGCATAGTTTCTTACTCGTCCATTCATAGATGTAAATGACTGTAGAATAATATGTGATATTTGAATATAGCTTTTAAAAAATAATTACACTGAACAATAACTTCCAAGTCTGTATGGAAGGGAAGAGGAATTTTGTGGATAAACACGTAATACATTTTCATCAAAACTTACATATTGCATGTACATATGCATTTAAGGAAAAAAAGTCACGTTATTTAACAAACTAGTTTTGTAATTCAAACAAGCATTAAGTTTTCTCAGATTTCTGAAGCATTTATAGAAGAGAAGCGTTTTTCACAAAGGTACGTCCCTTTTTTATATTCAGCTGAGCTGGGCTGCAGTCTGCTTATTTGATGCCCTCTTGTGGCTCAGATTATTAGTATGCTGTTTGCCATGAAAAACAGGAGATGCATTGGTAAGGAAACTATTTTTTAATAGAATTCAAGCTCTTTATAACAGAAATGTCAAGATATTAAGTGATTTGATCATATTTTCTATAGTGCTGATAGTTTCTGATATACCTAAAATGTGCAGCGTAGCCTACACAAATCTGTGAAAGTGTTTACTTCTTTTTTTTAGTAAATATCATTTGTGAAATATAAGTAATGATACAATACAGACTTCTGAATATGAATATTTTTCATTCAGTAATGATTTAGAAATCTGGTGTATAATCACCTACTTTGGAATAAAGAACCAAGTACTCATTCCCTAACCTGAAATAATGGGGTTTCAGTCTGAGGCATGAGCTCAGCTGCTGGTATTCCAAAGTAGTTTAAGAAAACTAATGGGTCTAAAAAAAAACGTTGATCTGCCTCTCTCCAGTTGAATCTGGAGTTGAAATAATAATAAAAGCTAACTGGTGTTCTTTCAAAAATAGCTGTTCCCCATTCCTTAGCAGAACGGGCTACCGTTTTATGCGCATGAGCTGCTCACATATCCACTGTTGAGACCAGGAGACTCTATTTTGCTCCTATAACTCTTCTACAAACTCTGAAATTACACAACATGTGTCTTCTGGCTTCATCAGTTAATATTCTTGCAAATGATTATGAAGATTTTGGTTAAATGATAAATGGGAAAAGTAGAAAGCAAAAAGCAAGAATAGAACACAAAAGAGAAATGGTTAAAAAATAGAACAATTAGATTATATAAGTTCTTTGTAATTTCTTCAAGCATAAATATGCAAAATAGATGTTACCAGAATTATAATTATAACATTTATATATAAAATCAGATCTTACTTTTATTCTGATAGAATTAAAAAAGATGAACAGTGTATTCAAAACTATTACAGAAATATAAAAATCTCCAAATATAAATAAAACTAGTGGAATAAGTACTCTTTCAGTCTTGTACTAATACCATACCTGGTGTTTCAGTGATAATTAAAATCCATATAATATCCAAGGTGAATTAGACTTAAAAACTTTCACTATAATTGAAAAGATTACCTATTAATTCTTCATTATTTAATCTTCACAGATATTTAAAATCACACCATCAAATGCCATATCAAAGTAGTAAACCCATATTAACTTGGAACAAATTCCTGGTCACATACAATGCTACAGAACTCAAGTAATGAGTTTAAAAGATTCAAAACAATGCTCAAATTTTTTACTGCACTGTATCCTAGTTTAAAAAGAATACCTACTCCTATAGAATGAAAAGAATTATTGTATCTCAGAAGATTTAGCTTGCTTAGGAGAAGAAATTCTGGGTGTGGTGGGTCCTTTCAAACATCCAACTACCCACAACTACCTTTCTAACGCAGTCACAAGTTACGAATTTGTTCTTGATCTACCTTGTTAACATCAATTATTGGTTTCCCCTTGGATCATAAAATCAGAGAGTCATAGAATGGTTGGGGTTGCAAGGGACCTTAAAGCTTACCTAGCTCCAACTGCCCCCCTGCTATGGGCAGGGACACCTTCCACTAGGGGGAGAAACAGAGAACTCTCTTACTGTAGGAGGCACAATAAGGCACAATGCCAAGAAATGGTTACTCTTCACATTTTCCTCAGGGTGAAACACTTACATTACTTACCCTATCGGATTTTTTTAATGCATGTTAATTTATAAATGGTTTCTGGGAAGAACATAATGAACTGGCTGAGAATCAGGTCTGTAAGCAATTGCTACACTCAAGTGCACTTACATATGAAAGGGGTGAAAAGGCCAATGAATTGTTTTCCTGGCAGATCAAGAATGAGGAAGTTGAAAGATTTATCTTGGAAATAACACTGGATATACAGAAGATAATTTCAGCCTTTTTTTTTTGGTTGTTGTTTTGTTTTTTTTTTTTTTGTCAGAGATTCCCCCTGTAGTCACATCTGAATAGTGACCCTTCCTAACCTGGAACTCCAAAGACCATGGAAACGTGTTCTTGTTGAACATAACTCTGCCTTGTCTTGGAACAATATAAGGGTTTCTCAGTGCCTTACAACTGTGATACTAAAACTAGCTTATTTAGTTATTCTGAAGGTTTTTTCCTAAAATTAAATGTTATCTCTCAGACAAGATGTATGTCCTGTTTCTTAAAAAATGTAGGGAATCCATAGTAAAGAGAATTTATGCAAAAAAAAATGTTTGAAATATTTTTAAAATAATTATAATTGTAATATTATTACATTTGTAATTAGATTTATCTTAATTACATGTATTTAATGTTAAAGTATGAGTATTACATTACATTTAAAATTATGAATATATAAATTACAACATGTAAAATAATCTTACATTAAAATGTTTGTGGAAATATCAGACTCTGTTTCTGGTATTTGTTCTTTTTACTAATTAGACACCTTAATCCTTATTCAGTGTTACCTATTCAGTGTTACTTATTCAGTGTTATGGAATCACTGAAAAGTACATAGTATTTTCATAGAAGGAACTTCCTTAAAATTTATGTGAGAAAAGTGGATTTCTCTCATTCTAGATACTAAAATAAAGGAAATACAGTGCATATTTATAAATTCTCATTGTTAAAGCTATTTTTACATGTGAATCCACAACCCTTTTTTATAATATAGGCTGCAGTTAAATACAGAGTACTTGTAATCAGTCCTGGTCAGTATATCTCATGATGTATTTAACAAAACTTGAAATCATACAGAGAAATCGAGATAAAAATGACTTTTGAGAAAAAAGGCTAAATAGACTTGAACTTTTTGGCCTAGAAAATAGACATTTAGTAGAGATCTATCTGTTTTATGATAGATATCTGTGAAGTGACAAATCTCACAGGGAACATGGAATTTTTCTCATCTGCTAGGAGGAATCAAACTGGTAAATTGTGGATACAAAATAGAGGTTCTTTGTTTCCTACAGCACAACTGAAATGTGGGTTTTAATAGTTATAGGATATTGTTGATGGCAAAAGTTTTCATGAGTTCAATTGGAACAGGAAGACAAACTCATGAAGAAAAAGTTATTAAATACAAAGATAAGAGCTCTGGCTTAGGAAGTTCTCAAACCAGAAGTTTGTTATAGAAAACGACCATTACATGCTCTCTTTGTTCTGATACTCTTCCTTAAGAACCTGGTACTTAAACGTTCTTAAACATCCAGGGTAGATGGACCTTTGCAGGTACAACTGTTCTTATTTATTTTAGTTCAGTATTACTATTGCAGTTATGTACATGTGTGAGCATCCTACTGTCTTACAACACAATAGCTGAAAAATGAGAAATGCAGGTGATAAGCTGAGTTCATACAAACCACTGAAAAGTGCTCTACAGAGCACCAACAGCCTATACAGTGAAACTAGGAATTTCAATGCAATATGAAAGAAGTAATAACTAAAGAAATTAGCACATATATTATCAAATGTCATGATTTGCCAAAGACTTGTAGTCCAAGAACTTGGGAATTAAAGTCATGCTACCTTTCTGTGTCTGTTTCCTTTTCTAAGAAATGGCAACACACCAGTCTACCCATCTGTAGTTCAAAAATACCACATATGAGACAAGTCAGGCTACACATCCCATTCTGATCACAAAAGCTGAAACTTTAATGAGTGTTCCTGTTTTATTTGAGAGAAAAACAGAAACATCCTTTGTTTTCAGTCTTACTTATCCCCTCAGGTCTTGTTTGGCATTTCTGCCTGTGAAGTTGTGAAAGAAAATTTGTGATAGCTCCTGCCAGATCACTGTGATCAGTCATTAAAAATATTAAATGTTTACAGGGCTATTATGGCTGTCTTTAAAAGGTGCTTGAAATGTTGTATCTAGCATAACTCATCTGTTCTGTTCTCAGAGACACCAAGTCCCAGCTTGCTGGTTGTCCTTCAATTTTAATGCTTTGGTGCTGCGTGATTATTAGATTCCAAGTGCTGCGTTATTATTAGTGTCCCTGCTACTTTAGTCACTAATTTTCCTGTGAAAGTAATATGAAATAATATGATGATGCTGAAGGAGCAAAATCCTGATTTGCCTTCTTTATCTCTTTGTTCCATAACTGAACTCAAGAGAAAAGCTTTCTTACAAAAGTTCATTGGCAATGAAATAGTGTCTTTGGAGATAGGAGTATTACTCAAACACCAGACAAGCAACTAGCAGAAGAGCAGAGCTCTGCTTCCTTTCAAACGTTGATGAAATCTGTAAAGATTTGCCAGTACATCATGCTGATACAACAAAATTCTTCTTCTATGGCCTTTGATGTCTGCATTTCTTCCTTCTCTTTATCAATACTGACTGAATCATTAAATGCTAGTGAAAGAAGACAGCTGCATTTCCATTACCCCTTTTTACTGGTTGTTCATCAGGGAATGATAGTTGCTTGTTACTGGGCTGGGTTGCTATAATTGCTGAACATGAGCCGTGGGTCATATGGCTCATACCTGCATGGGTATACCCGGAATTGGAGACACCTAGCATTGCTCCTGAACAGGACTGCAGCATCACTACTCAGTAGTTTGGCTTTTCTGGAATTTCTTTTTCAATTGTTTTAGCAATGTTATTGATCTGGTGTGGATCTGTGGCCAAGTTACACACTTCTACAAACACCTCCTGGTCATCAAATTCACAGTGCTGCAGGTCCCAGGAAGTTGACAGCGTCCTTACACAAGCACATGTGTTGTTACAGGCATCTTGACATGCAGTCTGGGAAGCAGTGTGTGACTCCAGGTCCTAGACAAGAACAGGTAGGATCACTGCTGTTGTACTCCACCAAGAAGTCTGATCTTCATGTCTCATTTTTGTCTCCTCTCAGCAGCAGCAACAGTGACAGTCCATTCATCTGGGTCTTTTCAAATCATACTCTGGGATGTCCAGAATAGTGAGACCCAAATTAATATTTGCACCAAGCATCTTGTTTGTCTGATTTGGTTTTATCCCTGGTCCTTGATCTAGCAATGGTACTTTGATATCAAACTCATACAACTGCCATTTGTCTATTGTCGAAGAAAACTGGCAGTGTGGAAGCCATTGTCTGATATGTAAAAGATGTAGGTGTTGTCTAATTCTCCATTCAGTTCCAGTTTCTTCACTAGCTTCTCTATCAGGTCATCCACTGACAGCAGAGTTTGCCATTCTATATGCATCATCAAGAAACTGTATTGAAAAGTTCATTGGAGTCTGCTTGTTGAATTAACCAGTGCTTGTTCTTCACATGAATATTAAAATTGCTGTTCAAGATTTTTCATGCTTATTTTATTAGAAGAAGAAATTGATGGGATAAACAAAGCCAAAGTAATGGCCAGTGTTACACAAAAGGAGCAGCTCTACAGGGACACTGAAAAGGAGTGTCAACTATTCTGAAAATGCAAGACTGAGTATACAGCACAGATAAACCTGGCGCACTAGTCTGAATAGTGGGAATATGGGAGTGGGATGAGGAATGCGGTTGGGACAACAGGGAATGCCACACCTATGCAATGGCAAGGGTTGTCCACATCTGGTTCTCCTCATCAGAGCTTTGTGTACTGGGATTTGCTTCTAGGGCAGAAGATAATCCTGAGAATTGGAGAGATCTACCCCACCCATGCACATGTTCACTTAGATGTGTGCTTGGGGTCACTGGGGAAAATGAATGAATCAGAGATTTCACCCTTGATACCAAATAGCCTTCATTCTGCTTTGAGAAAAGCATTTCTTCAATGCAGCTTTGTACACAATATCCTATTCCCTGAAAACAGAGGGACAAAACCAAAAAGCAGTTGCCTTCTGCACAAATTCCCAGCCACTTTTTCAGCAAATCTGGAGCTGTAGAAGTCCTTTTTCCATATTCACTCAAGTTCCCATTCGGACTTAGAATCGTAGAATAGAATAGTTAGGGTTGGAAAGGACCTTAAGATCATCAAATTCCAACCCCCCTGCCATGGGCAAGGACACCTTGCTCTAAATCATGTCACCCAAGGCCTCGTCCAACCTGGCCTTGAACACTGCCAGGGATGGAGCATTCACAGCCTCCCTGGACAACCTATTCCAGTGCCTACCACCCTAACAGGAAAGAATTTCCTCCTTATATCCAATCTAAACTTCCTCTGTTTAAGTTTTAACCCGTTACCCCATGTCCTATCACTACAGTCCCTAATGAAGAGTCCATCCCCAGCATCCCTATAGGCCCTATTCAGGTACTGGAAGGCTGCAATGAGATCTCCACGCAGCCTTCTCTTCTCCAGGCTGAACAGTCCCAACTTTCTCAGCCGATCTTCATATGGGAGGTACTCCAGTCCCCTGATCATCCTCGTGGCCCTCCTCTGGACTTGTTCCAACAGATCCATGTCCTTTTTATGTTGAGGACACCAGAACTGCACACAATACACCAAGTGAGGTCACATGAGAGCAGACTAAAGGGGCAGGATCACCTCCTTTGACCTGCTGGTCACACTCCTTTTGATGCAGCCCAGGATACGGTTGGCTTTCTGGGCTGCAAGCGCACACTGCAGCTGGCTCATGTTCAGTTTCTCATCAACTAGCACCCCCAAGTCCTTCTCCGCAGGGCTCCTCTGAATCTCTCCTCTGCCCAGCCTGTAGCTGTGCCTGGGATTGCTCCGACCCAGGTATCAGACCTTGCACTTGTCATAGTTAAACTTCATGAGGTTGGCATCAGCCCACCTCACAAGTGTGTCAAGGTTCCTCTGGATGGCATTCCTTCCCTCAAGTGTATCAGCCGAACCACACAGCTTGGTGTCATTGGCAAACTTGCTGAGAGTGCACTCAATCCCACTGTCCATGTCAATGACAAAGATGTTGAAGACGACCGGTCCCAACACCGATCCCTGAGGGACACCACTCGTTAGTGGTCTCCAGGTGGACATCTAGCCATTGACCACAACTCTTTGCGTGTGGCTATCCAGCCAGTTCTTTATCCACTGAGTGGTCCATTCATCAAATTGATGGCTCTCCAATTTAGAGACAAGGATGTCGTGTGGGACAGTGTTGAACACTTTGCACAAGTCCAGGTAGATGACATCAACTGCTCTACCCTTGTCCATCAGTTCTGTAGCCCCATCATAAAAGGCCACCAGATTGGTCAGGCAGGATTTCCCCTTAGTGAAGCCATGCTGGCTGTCACCAAGCACCTTGTTGATTTTCATGTGCCTTAGTATGCCTTCCAGCAGAATC